ACAGTAATAGGCTTTAAATCAGTCTGCACTGCCAGATGATTGGCTGGGTTAGATGAATGGGTCAGAGGTAATAATTCACTGAGGTTATTGTGTGGGCTGCTTGATAGCTATTTGACATTTATAAATCAGCTACTTTTTTCTGAGCTGCTCAATGCCTGCAAGTCACGATAGTCCATCTGAGAAAGGCATTTCATTTCAGCCAAGGGTGGCTTTGAGCAGCCATGGCCTTTCCTTCGAGCTGAACTTGAATAAACCTAATCAAATCTAGTTTTACTGACAGCCAAATTCCTCTCCTGCCACCTGGACTGACTGGCGACGATTGGAGGAGTGTGTGTGCACGAGTATGGTGTGTTTGGGGTGAGACACTGCCATCCTTCACTCACACTGAACCACTTTCTGCACTTAAGTCTCACCAACAACTCAAAGAAACAGAAGCTAGTGGGCCTGATTTCTGAACTAGTGACACCTGAGTAAATCAGGAACAGCTCCAGTAATGTTGCTGGAGCTATTTGATTATAAAACAGCTAAGGCATAAAAGCCAGGGTTGTAAAGATATTTAGCTGCCTAAAAACCAGATTTCAATGGGAGGTAGGCCCCTAGTCGCATTCAGAAAACCCAGTAGGCCCTGCCTGACATTTCAGGTGCCTAAATAGCTTTAAAAATGTGTCCCTAAGGCACTACTCAGTATGGCTAAGGGAGCCAGAACCAGCCTGTAATGGGGGACACAACTGCCCCTCAAATCAGGCTCAGAGAGACCTCAGGATTGTGCAACACCTGTCTCTTTATTCACCCAACCTTGTCCCACCACCAGTGCCAAACTATATACAGTCTTTCGAGGGTGTCCCCCCTCTCCTTATACAGGCCTCCAGCTCCTTCCCTGACTGATCCTCTCCCTCATTGTGGCTATGTCTACACTGGCAGGTTCTTGCGCCAGAAATATGCAAATGAGACTAAGTGTGGAATATTGCTGAGCCTCATTGGCATATCTAATGAACAGCCATTTTTGTGGAAGAGGCTCTTGCACCAGAAGGAGTGTCTACACTGCCCCTTCTTGCGCAAGAAAAACCCTCTTGCGCAATGCTGCTACGCTGATTATTTTCAAGAATAACGGCATTGCACAAGAGGGGTTTTTTTGCGCAAGAAGGGGCAGTGTAGACATTCCTTCTGGCGCAAGAGCCTCTTCCGCAAAAATGGCGTCTCATTAGGTATGCCAATAAGGCTCGGTGATATTCCACGCTTAGCCTCATTTGCATATTTCTGCCACAAGAACCCGCCACTGTAGACATAGCCTGCCTGTCTTCACTTCTGGCTCCTTCCCAGCCTATGTTCCCCTGGGCTTGTCAGGCTGGCATCAGGCCTTTTCGTCAGCCCCATCTGTTCCTCTTGGGGATACTTAGGTGCTCTTACACAAGCATCTTGCTACATGGCCCTTAAAGAGTAAAAAACCAAAGTAATGCTATTT